GTAAAGCCGGTGCTAAAATTAATATTGGCCTACCGCTTGTACTAATAAAGTGCCAAGGGCCTAAGTGGTCACCTTAACGTTAAAAAAAAACAAAACAAATTTAGCTAATTTTAGATTCATTAAAAACAACTCTATAAGAGAATTATTTTGATAGTTAAATCATCCAAATTGGATTATTAAATTAAAAATTATTAATTTTTAAAGATTTTATTATTTTATATTACTAAAATTTTTAATAATTTTAATTTTTCTTTAATTGCAAATTCTCTCTAAATACAGGTTAAAGTACTAGTTCTGGCAATATGCATTTAGAGAGTCGATTATATTATAATTGTAATTATATAAAAGTATTTTTATTGCTATTTTTAAAATAGTTAAAAATAGCAAATAAATTTTTTTTTTAACATACACTCAAATACTGTATACCTATATACCCGATTAGCTTAGAACTAGCTTAGAATATTGATTAAGATCGATACCTGATTTTATGTAATTCTGTAATTGTCAATACAAATGACCATTGTTTAGTAAACTACAAAATTATATAAAATTGAGTATCGACCTTTAATCAATGTTCTAAGCTAATTAGGTGTATAGGTATATGGGTATTTGTATATATGTTAAAAAAAAATTTTATTTGCCATTTTCAACTATTTCGAAAACAGCAATAATATTAAAAAAATTGTTCATAAAAATTATATAATTATATTATTCAAAATTTTCTCAACGATTACTTATATCAAAATTTCATCTAACAAAAAACACAACTTTTGTTAAAGAGATGTGGCCTTATAGTATGGTTTGTCTAGAGATCCATTAGGACTTCTCTAAAAAGATATTTGGCATACAAGCCAAGAACATTATTATACAAGATAACTAGCAGGCAGTATCTTTGTATAAAAAATTTTGATAAAAAAAGAAGCAAGTTTATTTTTACTACTACTTTATCAATAAAGCTTAAAGGTTATTACTTTAAAGAAAAAAAAGACACAAGGGATACAACAAAAGTTTTGGATTTTAACACACTCTTTAGAAATTTTAAAAATACCTGCAACTGAAAACCTTCTACTATATTTTTGCTATTTTGGAATTTTTTTAAAAAATTTTAACCAAAAAGTAGAAAAACTGATATACTTTCTCTAAAAGATCAGCAGTGTTTATTGCTTTCAAATTAGGATGTGTCTACTGAAATAGAATTTCTTATGAGCTTATTTAGATTTTGCTTTGCCAAATAAACAATAATGATGATAAAATCAGAGAGATCATATATTAAAATTTCTTAGTATTAGGTAGTTATATATATATATATATATTTTTAATATATATAGTGTTGAAGTAGATTCTTTTTGTTTTCCATACAACCTATATAATTTCTATAGTCTAGCATAGACAAAAATAGTACTGTCATAGCTGTGGCCTTTTTCTCCTTTTCTTTATTTTTTCTTTTGTATATTGTTTTTTTTTTTGTTTAGTTTAAATTTTCTCTATTTTTAATTTTTTCTTTTAATTTGTAAATTTTTTGTTGTTTTTGCAATAAAATTCTTCTATCTAGAAGGCTAGAAGAAGAAGGTTGAAAAAGAAGACAAACATGATAAGCTAGTGAACCAGGTTGGTGAACTGAGGTGGTTAGCTTGATATAGGTTAAACCAAACCAGGAAGATTGAACTTATCTTTGGCAAGTCACATATAGATGCTCAAGTATTTTTAGGTACTTTATAGTAACTGGGTAAGCCACATTTCAGTTTTGTTGTTGTTAAAAACATTATGTAATTTGTATATCTTTGGATTGCACACCTCATAAATAAAAGCAAAGGGCATGTGACATTATCAAAAAAAAAAAAAGATTGTGTAATTATTTAGAGTTTGTGATAATATAGGAATAAGGTGATTGTATAGGAGAGTGACTATATATCTATAGGGGTATACCCAGAGTATACCATTTGCAAAGGCATGCCTTTTAGACATGCTGCAAAAATTTGCCATGCCTCAACCCTAATATATATGCTATTTTTTTGTACTAAAAAAAAATCTGTAAATAAAAAATCATTACTACCAATATCTGAGATTCGAGTGTATATATACAACCAAACCTTTTATAAACTGTATTTCACAATAAACAATTTAATTTAATTTGCACACTTGAATCTCAAGCATTAGACATAATATAAATTTTTACTTATAAATTTTTTTACAATAAATGTAACAAGAAAAATATACATATTATTATTATTTTATAACACTATATATAATAATTCTCACGTAGTAAAGCACGTGCAGATTCTAGTACTGTATATATCTTAATATAATTTTTTTAAAATTTCTAGAATTATATATTTAGTGTAATGTGTTTGTATATTTTTAATAATTTATCACTAAAAGTTAATCTGCCATCAAATTTTGAATTTATTATTTACCGAACACAATTTCTAGGTGCAATAAATTTGAAACCTAGATGACGGGTTTTCTTTTTGCAAACTTATTTTTTACTATACAGCCCGTCATTTAATGACGAGCTTAACACACAGTACAAGTTTAAACAAAACGTTTAGTTCTTTGTCAACTTTATTTACCAATGTTCAAATAATTTAGACTTTATTTTCTTTATTCGGTGTAATGCAGCAGCAGCGAGATCCAAATATACATCTACAAATCTTTAAAATCCAAATCCACAAAACCTATTTGGGCTGTTATAATCCCAAATCCAAACCCCAGATCCCAAATCTTATCCCATGTCACAAATCCCAAATCGCATCCCATGTCACAAATCCCTCAAGTTTTGAATCTAAAATCTCAACCCAAATTTTATACTAGGATATACCTTGTGCAAGATAAACCTAGTATATGTTTCAAGTTATCTAAAATAATAATTTAGAACATTATGTTATTTATTTTTTGTACAAATTGTGTGAAATCGCATTGCAGATTCGTTATATTGTGCAAGATATGTATATATAGTACGTATAGGCTCTTAATATATCATTACCAGAATAATGATAATGATAGTATATGAGTGTCGCCAAAAGAAAACCCGACAATTTAAATATAGACTATATTTAAATTGTCGGGTTTTCTTTTGGCGACACTCATATATTTGAGATTTGGGACATGGAATGGAATTTGGGATGGAGTTTGGGATTTGGCGACTTGAGATTTAGGATTGGGACTTATCCGATTTTACCACATGGGATTTTAGGACAATCCCAATTGTCCAGGTTTGTCCATAGACCAATCCCAAATCCCAAAAGTTTGCAGATCCAAATCCGAAAATCTGCTCGAATCACGCCACATTAACGTTAACGTTAAAGTTTAAATAACTTAACGTCAGATCACTACTTTTTTTAGTCAATTAATAATAACTTTAAATTATTTTACATATAACAGTATATATTATCTCGTCACGACAGATTAAATTCTACAACGAAGCACTTAACGTTAACGTTATCAATTGAAACATTGCGATTTTATACAAAAAAATGTAATATATTTTTATATATAAACATTTATTACATTCTAATCTTAATCATTAGGTAAATAACATGACATGTAAAAATTATTAGCGATGCAGATAATTCAAATTATATAATAAGAAAAAACTCATCGAATATAATGCAATACTGCAAACATACTAAAATTCTACGCAAGAAAAAACTTTTTAATGTCCATCGTAAAATTAATATAATATAGAAATTGATTACACAAATATGAATACTATATTTAATCAACTTCTTCCATCTGAGAAGCTTCCGCAGTACTTGATTCAGCAGTATTAGCAACTACTTCTTCAGTTTCCATAATATCCTCCTCTTCCTCACCAATATCAAGACCTAATTTGATCATCTTGAAAATTCTACCGGCAAATGATGAAGGTTCTTCCAAGGTAAAACCAGATTGTAAAAGTGAAGTCTCGAAAAGAAGCCATGTAAGATCTTTAACAGTCTTATCATTCTTATCAGTCTCGACTTTAGATTTGAGTGACTTAATGATTGGATGAACTGGATTAATCTCCATAATCTTTTTAGAAGCCATATACGAAGCCATACTAGAATCACGTAATGCCTGAGCTTTCATGATACGTTCAAAGTTGGCAGACCAACCATATTGACCAGTAACAAGAACACACGGTGATTCCGAAATACGATTTGATACAACAACCTAAAATATTATTAAAAAATAAAATTATTAATATTGTTATTATAATACTGATAAATTTTTAAAATCTTACGAATATATATATATTTACCTTTTCGACTTTATCACCAAGAATTTCTTTAACTTGTTTGCATAAATCATCAAAATTCTTATTTTCTTCTTCACGACGTTTCTTTTCTTCTTCATCTTCATCAAGTTCAAGTCCTTCTTTTGTGATACATACAAGTTTCTTGCCATCATATTCTTTAAGCTGTGATACGGAGTATTCATCAATAGGGTCAGTCATAAGCAAGACTTCATACCCTCGTTTTCTCAATACTTCAACAAATGGGGAGTTCTCGACAGCTTGACGATTTTCACCGGTAATGTAGTAAATATCTTTTTGTTTTTCAGGCATACGTGTTACGTAGTCTTTGAGAGAAGTAAGTTCATCGGTAGATCTTGTTGAATAATAACGAAGGAATTCGGATAATTTGGCACGATTTTGAGAATCTTCGTGAATACCAAGTTTTATGTTTTTGGAAAAGGCTTCGTAGAATTTTGCGAAATTATCTTTATCTTCAGCAATCTCTAAAAAGAGTTCCATACATTTCTTCACTATATTTTTACGAATTACTTTGAGAATTTTATTTTGTTGAAGCATTTCACGAGAAATGTTGAGTGGTAAATCTTCAGAGTCAACTATTCCTTTAACAAAGTTGAGGTATTCAGGAATTAAATCTTCACAATCGTCCATAATGAAGACACGTCGTACGTAAAGTTTGATATTATTGCGTTTTTTCTTGGTTTCAAAGAGATCGAATGGAGCACGACGTGGGACGAATAAAATTGCTCTGAATTCTAATTGACCTTCAACGGAGAAATGTTTAACGGCCAAATGCTCTTCCCAATCATTAGTAAGCGACTTGTAGAAAGCGCCATATTCTTCATTATTAATATCATCGGGATTTCTTGTCCAAATAGGTTTAGTCTTATTCAATTCTTCAGTTTCTTTTGTTATTTCTTTGATTTTCTTTGTCTTCTTTTCCTTCTGTACATCATCATCTTCGACTTCCTCAATTTTAGCGGTTTGATCACCCTCTTTTTCATCTTCCTTGACTTCTTCTTCTTTTTCTTCTTCATCTTCAACTTCCTTTTCTACTTCCTTTTCAACAATGAGTTGGATTGGATAACCAATGAATTCGGAATGTTTCTTGACGACCTCCTTAATTTTACGTTCTTCAAGATATTCCAATTGATCTTCTTTAAGGAATAATTTAATAAGTGTACCTCGACCAAGAGGTTCATTAACGGTATCACGAGTAATAGTGAAAGATCCACCGGCAGCAGATTCCCAAATATATTGTTCATCATCATTATGCTTTGTGATAACTTGAACACGGTCGGCTACCAAGTAGGCAGAGTAAAAACCCACACCAAATTGACCAATCATAGAAATGTCGGCACCGGATTGTAAAGCTTCCATGAAAGCTTTAGTACCCGAACGAGCGATAGTACCGAGATTATTTACAAGATCAGCCTAATAATAAGGTACATATATAATTATAATAATTATTAATAAAATTGGCTCCAATCGATTTCGAGCAACAACTTTCGATCATTTGAAAATGATGATACCTTAGTCATACCAATTCCAGTATCTCGTAGCATAAGAACTTTATTTTCTTTATCTGGAGTGATTCGAATATAAAGGTCACGACCAGATTCAAGTTTTGAAGGATCGGTAAGTGATTCATAACGAATTTTATCCAAAGCATCAGAAGAGTTAGAAATTATTTCACGAAGGAAAATCCTAGATGACAAAGGTTTAGAAATAAAAATGATTAACAAACGCGCTTAAATTTTATAATCACATATCTTATTTAAGTAAAGAACATGCTTTCATCGATAGTCGATACAAATACATAACGAGTTTAACCAACAACTCAACACGTTACAACTTTATTCTTCGTTCTTAAGTAATATTTAAAGCGCGATTTTTTCACATAAAAAAGTAAAATATAAAACTTACTCTTTATTTGAATAGAAAGTGTTAATGATAATTGACATAAGCTGAGATATCTCAGCTTGGAAGGCAAATTGTTCGACTTCAGCCATTTCTGCGTGAATACGTTATAAGTGAGTTGGATAAATATGTATGTTTTTTTTTTATAGTACTAAAAAAAAAAAAATAAAAGTTTGCCGGCTTTGAAAAAATTTTTTTTTTTTTTTCGTAAAAACAAGGAACTTTTTAGTCTAACGTTTTTAAAAGAAAAAAAAATCTTCTGAGGAAAGAGATAGTTTGATGAATGAAATCTTATTTTATACCTGTTCGGAGTATTCGTGGTAAACTTTGTAAACTTTCTATGAGATTCTATGGGACAACATTAGTACACTTTAATCATGTAGATCATCATCAATCTATACACGCGTTGGAAGGTTCCAGCAATTTGGAGATTACTCTACAATATCTGATGATAATTTCCGGAGTTTTACGACCTTATAATCGTTTCATTGTCATTTATCACAGTACAGCATTATTAGTAGATTCGAGAAATTTACATTGTCACATAAATATTTATTTTTCCTTACACTGTACTACGATCATAATTTCAAATATGCTATGATTTTCCATGTTATTCAAATATCTATAATCTGATAATTAATCTTGAAATTTCTGCGGTACTGTGTAAGGGATAGTAACGGTAATGGTTACAATAAATGATTAAAGTTGCGTAAGCATGTGAATCCTTTCAAAGCTCATTTAGGTGATGTTGGAGGCTGATTCGGCTCGAGCTTTGTTCAATAAAGAGCCGAGCCACTTATAAATCGAACAGCCTCGGGCATATCCGAAGCTAAGCTGTTACGTTATCTTAAACTAACGTTAAAAATGATACGTAGTCGACTTTCTATCAATCAACTAAAGTAGCTTAGCGCTAGTTAGTTAAATACAAATATTTGCCATTATATTATATATATAATGGCAAATATATAGTAAATTTATAGTATATAACTTATATACTATAAATTTACTACGTATATAATTATTAAACATACATATATATGTATATTTTTGAAATCGTAAATTTACCAAAAATGTCAATTGACTAGTCGAATTTGGACAACTAAATGATTGTTGAACTGTGAACATTGTGTCAAACCTAATACAGTCTGCCTTCGTTGTAGTGAACTCCGCTAAAACGGATCCTCTAGAACAATTTTAAAAATTTTATTATTATAATGTACAACGGATATTCATAGAATTTCCCACCCGATTACCAAGTTATAATGAGGGCTGACTGCAGATAGCAGCTAAAAAGGTTTTGATTTGGTTTTAGATAATACAGTCTAGTTAAAAAAATTAATGTTTAAGACAATCTACTTGGGCATAGCCATGTCAAATTTGACTTAGTCTAAAGTCGTAACCACAAGCAAGCACTATTTTCATTGTATATAAATTCTTAACAAGTTTTCTTAAAAAGTTAAGCAGTAACTTTATAAAAGCTTCATGAGCTTTATAAATTTAGTTGGCTTTTTTGAAAACAATTGCATAAAAGTTATGATTTTAAAATTACATTGTTTAAAAAAATTACAGTATAGTGATTTAAAATTAGGTATAGACTACCGGCACCAACTAATAAACCTATTTCACGTGATAATGGCTTAGAAGACCTTATGATTTTTATACGTACTGTAATTGTTATTTTTTTGTGCATTTGCACATCTCTATTGTTAATTTTGTGCGATGTGTACAACGAATTTTTAACACTGCTCGGGTTCATTAGTTTTTGATGCATATCCTTACGGTATATGAAAGAGTTTAATTACTTTATATATACAGTATATATACAGTATATTAGAACCTAATCAACCTTTAGGTGTTCTGTCATATTTTAACGTTAAAATCAACATTTTGGCATTTTCAGATGAAAAATACCGCAAGAAAGTAAAAAATTTTCGAATCAAAAGTACTTTCGAAACTCATTCTATTAAATTCTAAAGATGAAACGATAATTCACTCACGAATTTAATTAATTAATTACAGTAAAAAGATCAACGTACAAAATGCCCGAATGCCGATACCGATAACGATAATTTTTTGATCAGCACACGTGAGTATTGATTGGTTTTAAACGTTAATTGGAGCCAAATTATTTATTATTAATTTAAATTCATTTATCATTATTTGTCGTTATACTGTATTTATTCTTTATTAACTAGAAACGTTGTTCGAAAAATACCTTCATTATTAAAAATAGAATTAGCACAAAATCCTTTTTCCTAAAAATTATATTCCAATATCCACTATCCTAAAAAGTCATTGAAGTAATGGAAAAGGCAGTTCGCAAGGCAACAAAACCTAAGCGTGCTGCTCCAAAAGCAAAATATCTAAAAGGTATTATAGAAAAATGTCGCATTATATAGATCTAGTTTGATTTGCCTGAATACTTAATAGATTTCATTATTCTTTTTATAGTATTAATAGAAGCAACTTCGGATGATTCTGCTTTAGGGTCGGCACTAAAACATCTTAATCATCGTTTAAAGGAACACAGCTGGACAGTAAGCTCTCACCTTCTAATCTTACTTGTTTCTTAATTTTCTTCCATTTTCATTAATTATTTTGTATTATTTTTTTTTTTCATAAAATTTACAAGGTTGTTTTCAAAAGTCTTATTGTTATTCATGTTTTAATGAGACAAGGTGTAAATGCTCGTGTTTTAAATTATTTGGTGAGAGATCCAACAATTTTAAATGTATCAAGTTTTAAAGATAGGTCAGGTACTCAAGGTATATATATATCCTAGTGTAATTCATTCTCAATGAAGCATTGGTGCAATTATCATGTTTATAATATAAAAGTTTATTAACTACTTTTATTAACCATTATAGGTTCAGAGCAAACTAAAAATATTCATACATATGCCGCGTATATTGAAGAAAAAGTAGCTGTATACCGAGACTTAAAAGTCGATTTTGTCAGAGAAAAATTAAATAATGGCGAAGGTCGATTAAGAAAGCTTTCAGTTGAAAAGGGACTTTTACGAGAAGTTGAAATACTTCAACGTCAAATAGCAGCTTTACTAAATTGCAAGGTTTTTTGACTAGAAAAATATATATATATATAGTATACAGTCAACTCTCTCTAAGTTATTAAATTGAACGTTCAACAAACGTCGTTTAAACTGAATTTTAAAATTTTATTATAAAGTTCAAATTAAATACATTTGTAACCAAGGGCTCAATTTGAGAGAGAATTAGCTGTATTTTTATTTAATACTCTAAACTTTACAAACTTATTTGAAATGATTTCCATTAGTTCTTCATAGATGAAGTAGATAACGAAGTAACGTTGACAGCATTTCGACTCCTTGTTGAGGATTTACTTACACTATTTCAAGCTATTAACGAGGGAGTCATCAACGTTCTAGGTAATTAGATGATATTGATTATTACATTTGAATTGATTATTAATAAATTAATCATTAATATATATCTTTTAATCTTATAACCATTCCAATGTAGAACACTATATTGAAATGTCACGAATTGACGCTAAAACTTCACTACAGATTTATAAAAAGTATGTCCAACAGACTGAAAAAGTTGTTGATTATCTTAGCATAGCAAAAAGAATGCAAGCAGCTCTTAGAATGAGCGTTCCAAACCTAAAACATGTGAGCCATCCTTTTAGTTATTCATATATATGCGGTCATTATTAAACGTGGATATAATTTTCTGTGATCAATTATCAATAGGCTCCTACATCTCTAACAGCTACTCTAGAAGAGTATGTTAATGATCCAGACTTCGAGGAAAACAGAAGACAATATAATGAAAATAAGGGTTTAAAACAGGACAAACAAACTGTTGATAACAAAACCCCATCGAATAGCATTCCTAAAAATACTGTAAAAAGTAAATTAATTAATAATTTTATTACTATAGTATATTTATTATTATTTATTTATTTATAATTATAATAACAAAAAATTTATAATTTCATTTAATAGGTGTAGAATCCTCTGTTCCTTCAAACGTTACAAATGTTACCAAAACATCCTCAAAAGAAAGAGAGTTTGTTGATTTCTTCTCAAGTATAGAACAAGAACAAACCTTGATTTTTGGTCCGCTTCAAACGTATTCTCCCACAAATACGTTAAGTCGCAGCGTTACCAACCCATTTATAGGGATTCAAAATCAACGCATAAACGAATTTTCTTCACAACCTCAGATAGTTCAATCACCAGTTACTTCTCAAGATACTAATCCATTTCGATCTACCATTATCGGTCAAGATGTGTCCTCTAATAGATCTTCCACTATGTTTGGTCAAGATATGTCCTCTAATAGAGCTTCAATTTTGACATCCGTGCAGCAAAATCCATTCCAATCTTCTATACCTACTTCGTCATATAGTAATCCATTCACTTCTATGAATACTATTCAATCTCCACAATTATCTCAACAATTATCTCCACAATCTATGCAAATAACTCCAATTCAATCCAATACTACTTTAGATAGTAACCCGTTTAGAAAGTCTATGCTTCCAACTACATTTAATCCTTTTCCTCAATCAATGCCTCAAGGGCCTCCTATTAATTATCAAATTGATCCTATGAATTCGACTGATACTTCATTCCCTATTAACCAATTTCAACCTCATGCTGCAGGAAATTTGACTTAATTCAGTAAAATACGTTGATTGTTCATACATTTAGCATATATGAGACAAACCGTAAAAAAAGAAAAAAAAAAAAAATTAATAATTTTGATGGTATATATATATAAATTCGTTTCAAATTATACGTTTATATATATTATATATAAATAATTATATATTATTAAATTAGTAATTCAAAGTATTTATATTAATGTACGTTTTAAAAAATAATATAGTTATAAATTTGTACTTATACGCTGTATTTATATTTTATTAAGTGCTTATTATAACTTTTGGGAAGGCGCAGTAAAAAGGTTTCGTTTTTTTTTTTTAAAAAAAAAAAAAACTGGTAGAAGCCGAGTTACGTGTCGTAAATATCGATCATTGATTACGCATAATAAAGTGTAACAGTGAAATCCTGCAATTAATCGAATAATGATGAACTCACGTTCTGATAGTAACCTATCAATTAAAGACTCGACATACGTTGTTTCAACTGTCGTAAAAAATATAATGACAGATTTTCGAATTTCGAAGCCAAACTTCTTTTCCACACCAAAGAAAGGTTAGCCTTTATCCTAATTGCTTTACATTTCAATTTCATTAAAAGTTTTTAAAATTATATAAACGATCTTCACTCCTCAAAAAAAAAAAATTTTTTTATTGTGGCTTCGCGATCTTTTATTTCGGTTGTTTAAGATTGTTAAGTTAGTGAAAAAGAAAATTTATATAGATTATATGTTAACCATAAAATTATTCTCTTTATTTCTTTGCCAATTTTAAAAACTTAAGGAGAGAACTATGAATTACGAGCAGACCTAAATAGTGAATACCGTGACCGAAGAAAAGATGCTATTAAAAAAGTCATTGCAAATATGACTGTTGGAAAAGATGTTTCAGGTTTATTTCCTGACGTCTTGAAAAATATGCAAACGGACGATTTAGAACAAAAGAAATTAGTATACTTATATTTAATGAACTATGCAAAGACACAACCTGAATTAGTAATTTTAGCAGTCAATACTTTTGTAAAGGTAAATTTTTTTCAATGTTATAGAATAAATTGGAATATTATAACCGTTTTTTTTTTAATTTTAATTTGTATTTAAAGGATACGGATGATAGTAACCCATTGATTCGTGCGCTTGCCATTCGAACGATGGGGTGTATCCGTGTTGAAAAAATTATTGATTATCTTTGTGAACCCTTGAGGAAGTGTCTAAGAGTATGTTATGTTTCTCTACTATTTATTTCTCAATTATGTATGTATTTTTTTTTTTTAATTATATACATTTTTCCTATGTTTAGGATGAGAACCCTTATGTTCGAAAAACTGCTGCATTATGTGTTGCGAAATTATATGAATTAAATCCTAACTTAGCAACTGATAATGGATTTGTTTCAGTTGTGCAAGATATGGTATCGGATGCTAATCCGATGGTACGTGAATTTTTTTTTTTATCATTTTTGTTAATATTTTATTTAAAATTCACTGAATCATTCTTAAAAATAATAATAATAATGATTTATTATTTAGGTGGTTGCAAATGCTATTACAGCACTGCAAGAAATAAATGAATCTTCCATCACCAAAGATGTTTTTATAATCAATGGGCCAACACTTACAAAATTATTGGTGGCACTTAATGAATGTACAGAGTGCGTTTAATTACTTATTATATATTTGTTTAGATACAGAATTAAATACAATTAGGTTTATGTTTTTTTTTAAAAATTTTAATATTTATTTTTAAATGATTTTAAAAGGTGGGGTCGGATAGCTATTCTTACTGCATTGGCTGAATATAAACCAGCAGACTCTAAAGAAGCTGAACATATTGTTGAACGGGTTGTTCCACAATTTCAGCATGTAAACGGAAGTGTAGTATTGTCCGCAATTAAGGTATTAAATTGACATAGTATATACTTAAAGTGTTGATTAAAGAAGGAAAAATAACAATTTCACTTACATTTTTTTAGGTAATAATGATTTATATGAGAACAATAAATAATGATGAAGCAATACGGCAATTAGTTAGAAAAATGGCCCCTCCTCTTGGTTTGTATTAATTTTCAAACAAATAAACATATATGTATATATGTATTCTTTTTCCTTGAAATATCTCTTGACAAAGTTATTGCTTTTATGTTCAGTTACTTTATTGGCATCTGCTCCTGAAGTTCAATATGTTGCCCTAAGAAATATCAACATTATACTACAAAAACGTCCAGAGATTTTAGCAAATGAAATGCGTGTCTTCTTTTGCAAATATAATGATCCACCATATGTCAAACTTGAAAAACTTGAAATTATGATCAAATTAGCTAATGATAGAAATATAGACCAATTATTATCGGAATTAAAAGAGTAAGATAATTCAAAATATATATATATATATATATTGGAAACCATAGTAAATAATGATGTACAAATTTTTATTTCATTTAACTTTAGATATGCTTCTGAAGTTGACGTCGATTTTGTAAGAAAATCTGTTCGAGCAATTGGACAATGTGCCATCAAGATTAGCGAATCTTCGGAAAGATGTGTTAATGTATTGTTAGATTTGATCAATACTAAAGTTAATTACGTAGTTCAGGAAGCAATTGTCGTTATCAAGGTATGAATGCAGATATTTTTCCTTTATTATTATTTATTTATTATTATTTTTTTTATTGATATTATTTTTGTAATTTTTAGGACATATTTCGAAAATATCCACATAAATATGAAGGAATTATCCCAACATTATGTCAAAATTTGGATGCATTAGATGAACCAGAAGCCAAGGCTTCTTTAATTTGGATTATTGGTGAATATGCTGAAAGAATTGAAAATGCTGATGAATTAATTATTACATTTTTGGAAACATTCCGTGATGAAAATTTTCAGGTATGTAAAACTTTGCGTTAATTTTAAATTATTTATGATAAAATTATACTCGATTAAATAATTTCATTATTTTTTTACGTTGTGTATGACAACTTTTGTTAAGGTTCAATTACAATTGATTACCACAGGCGTCAAACTTTTCCTCAAAAAACCACAATTAACACAAACCATCGTACAACGTGTTCTACAAACCGCTACAACCGAATGTGATAATCCTGATATTCGTGATCGTGCATATATTTATTGGAGATTATTATCAACAGATCCACAGGCTGCCAAGGTACTATCTTGGCTTTCATATCCCTTCATGATAGAAACGTAGTCAAGGACCGATTTTACGTTTTGCAATAATTGCCTGATCATTTCTTTAGGCTGTTGTTCTGTCAGATAAACCTCCGATATCCGTTCAAAGTAATACGATTTCTAGTTCTTTACTTGAAGAATTGATTAGTAATATTTCGACTCTTGCCAGCGTATATCATAAACCTCCTGAAACGTTCCTAGGGAAAGGTCGCTTTGGCGCTGATGCTGTTCAACGACGGGCTATCGAGTATGATAACTCTTCTAAAATTTTAGATTACATATTCAAATTTCAAATTTAATTAATTAATTAATTAATTAATTTGATTGATCATAATATTAACTTTTATTTGTTTGTTTTTTTTATTATAGGGAACAAGAAGAGGCTTCCCGAGAGTCACCGATCCAGGCTCAAACTAAAACAAATATTGAGAATCTATTGGATCTAGATTTTAGTGATACTAACACTGTTGTTTCAACTACAACATCTCCTCCGTCATCTTCCAAGTCTTTCACGCCAAATGCCAATGTGGACGATTTATTGGACTTGTTTAATGACAATAGCATATCTACGCAATCTACTTCTAATAATAATGGTAATCAAAATAATAGTGTGTCAAATGATTTGGTGAATTTGTTTTGAGGTTTAAATAAAAAACCAAATCATCATCTATAAATGTTAAAGTGATTAAATGTATTAAAAAAAAAAAATCTCTCTTAAATTTTGTAATTTATGATACCTAGACAAAAAAAAAAATACAAAAATATATATATATATATCGGTGGAAAAAAATGGACTGATTTATTATGCAATACTTATGGTCTTTGCAATATTATTATTATATTTATATAGCATTATTTTGTGTGAGAAAATTAAAGCAATAACATTAAATATATTGTAGAATGTAATTTATATTTAATTATTCATAATATTTGTTTTAATAAATCGGATATCTCATTTATATAGATTAGATATTCGTGTTTTAATTTATATAATGGGGGGAAGTCAACAAAAAATCGGTAAAGATCCTAATTTGGAGATAATTCAATTTTTTGTGTCAACTTAGTAAATCTAATCGATTTGTGTCGAATGATCGGAAGGGTGATCAAAAAAATTGAGTTAGGCCATGCAAATTAAATTAGTTGTTTCTCGTTACATCAGTACATGGATCAAACAAATAGGACCCGGCCTGCCGGCAAAAAATGTTATATTTATAATATAAAAAATGTTATATTTATAATATAAAAAAATTTTTTTTTATACAATAAAAAAAAAAGTTACCCGGCCGGATAACGAGAAACAATCTTATTTGTTCACATGGCCTTAGTAGAATTAAGCAAATTTATATAGTAGATTCTATTGATATAATATTTGAACTAAAAAATCTTGTAATTGGTGATTAAAAAACTTAGTAGAAATCAAGCAAATCTATCTAATATATAGATTTGCTTGATTTTTATTAACATAATATTTTTTTTTTTTTTTTTTTTTTTTATTCTTTGACAGGTCTTGTTGTGACTCGAACTCTTAGTTTGTAGTACATATAAACTATATA